CTGCTGCCTCAAGTCCCCATATTGGCGTTTCTCCCAAACATTCACTTCCGACAAACTTTAGATGGAAGTTGCTTTTCTCCCCCCTCCGTCTCTTTCTCGTTTGCTTTCCCTCTCTCTCTTCACACACACACACACACACACACACACACACCCCTGTGGAGAGTTTAAAACTAATACAATTATTACACCCTCTCTCTGTCAATAACCTTATTCCAAAATACACCTTTACATTGTGATCATGAACAGTTATCATTATTAATAGTTAGGGCATGTCCCCTACTTTTCCTATTTGTGATTTGGCCCATATATTAACTGTATTCTTCTTCTGAGATTTAGATGTCTTAATGCCATTGCATTAGCTATTTAAATAAATGATTTGTCTTGTTTGTCTCAGAACTAACTTCACTTTTAAGACCGGTTCAGACAGGTTTGATAATACAGTGGATTGGCAAATAGTTAAAAGTTTACAATGCAGCAATTAGTTTAAAATAATATATAACATCTATCATGTGTGACCCTGGACCACAAAACCAGTCATATGGGTCAATTTTTCGAAGGTGTTCTGGCTACCCTGTTTTGCACTTAAATGCAGTTTTAATATGCTATACTGAATAAATGATTTGAAAATAGTACATCTGACATAACTGCCTGATAAAGGGAAGCAATTCATGCATATAACGTACATATTACGCATTAGCGCCATACGTGTGCGAGTTTAAGGCAAATCAGTGACTGACTTAAATAAGACTTTGTGTAAAGTTGCAGACACGTGGCTCTTCTGCAACACTGATCGATCAATTGTTTACAAACCTCCTCAATGTCTGCAAAGACATTCTGAACGCTGTACAAGTTTAGATATTAGAGAACAAGCTAACACAGTCCTTAACCTGCACTTTATGATGATTCATAGGCAAAACATACACCAAAATGAATAATTATGCATAAGTGTTTGTGCAAAGCGTGTTAAAAGGTGATTTCAGCAAATGTACATCAACACGGTCTATGACTGCAGCTATAAACGCATTAACTCCATGAAAACTACCTTTATATGTGACTTAACAGTTTTACGTGTGTGCATATGTGTGTGTCGTTCGCTAGGCCTTCCATCACCGGAGTTTTGTTCGGCCAAGCGACTTAAGACGGGTTTTGTGGGGTTTAAACAAAGAATAATTCATATCCTATTTAAAATGTTGTTTTTATAGACTGATGGTTTGATGTGGTCCACAGTTTTTGTTTTACTATTGAAGTGGTCTACAAGCTGGCGAAGTCTGAGAACCACTGTCATAGCAGAGTAACCACAGACAGCCACAACAAAGTGTTACAATATTTTTGACTGTACCGTATTAAGTATAATATTTTGCCATTTAAAAATTAAACATCTTTGTCATGTTTTGCTTGAAAAGTATACTTGTGCTATATTTCCTGTAAAATAAATGTTTGAAATTGTGTGTAATAAATTGACATTCATATTCTTAAGTGTCCAAATACATTGTAGATAACGTACACTAACGGTCAAAACGTTTGGAATAAGTACGATTTCTTGAAAGATGGGCTCTTTAAGGATGCATTTACTTGATGAAAAACAGTAATATTATGAAGTATTATTACAATTTAATAGAACTATTTTCTATTCGAATATATTGTAAAATGTAATTAATTTCTGTGATACAAAGCTGTATTTTCAGCATCATTACTCCAGTCTTCAGTGTCACATGATCCTTCAGAAATCATTCTAATATGCTGATTTGCTGCTCAAGAAACATTTCGGATTATTATCAATGTCGAAAAGAGTTTTTGCTGCTTAATAGTGGAAACTGTGATACACTACCATTCAAAAGTTTGGGGTAAGATTGATTAAAAAAAAAGAAAATAATACTTTTATTCAGTAAGCGTGCTTGCTTGATCAAAATTGACAGTAAAGACTGTTATAATATTTAAAAAAATGTTTTTAAAATATACTTTTTTGAAATATTATACTGTCACAGCTTGCACAAAAATATTAGGCAGCACCTTCTTTCAAAAACATCTAAATTTGTCCAAATGTCAATGACAAACTTTTCAACAGTAGTGTACATAAAACTATACAAACTTGTTTGTGATTTTAAATAGACCTTATGTAAATGCAAGTTACACAAAACTTTCATAATCAACACCCATTAAGCTGCTTTACATTTGCAAACAATATCTGACTCTCCATAGACCTTCAAATTGTATTATCATTGTACCTAAAAGTTATTTTGCTGTATTAGCTTTAGTGAATTCTATGCCAAGCATTTTCATCATGCACCAAAATGTAACAAGTCAACACTAACATACAAAAATAGTCAACAAAGAAGAACAAGTTTATTATAAAGTCTATTAAACATCCCTATGATGATAACACTAGAGCCTAGCCACTATCATTTAAAAGTCATCAAATAGATTCTTCAGCCTCCAGAAACCTCTAGTATATCTGTACAGTATCAACCGCTTGGCAAAATGCCCTTTAAAGCTGGGTGTTTATGCCAGTAGAATTTAATTAAATTCTTAAATAAGATGAAAGCAACAGAATTAGTTTATCTATATGCACAAGGTTAGTGCAAAAACACAGCCTGACATACGTGCCATGACAGAGGAGGTCATCTTGTTTTTGGAGTGCTGTTCACAGAATTATTTGTTACAAATGTACATCAAATACTGATCCAGTAAATACAAGAATTCTAAGTCACACTCTAGATTGTTATAAAGGACTTTATAGCATACTAAAAAATGATAATAATATTTGTCCTTCATAAAAGCCCACCATATTAAATAAAATATTATGATATCTTTTTATTGTAACAATTATTAATATAAAACTGAATTTCAATGGTTATAGTTTTAAATAAACTTTAAAAAGAATACAAATGTTGATTAGGTTTTAAAGTCTATCTTTCTAGGTTGCTCTAACTATCTACACTATCCAGAAATGTTTTAATTCATTGCCTAACAAGACTAAAAGCTGCAATGCAGTACCGAATGTTCTAATATTTATATTAGTGGTATATTCCAAGGAGTTACATCCGAATGCCTTTGGTTTAACACATTTTCAGTTCATAGTCAAAACAACAACAAAAAAACAACCAAACAAAAAAAACAATTGGTTTAGTCCATCCTGATTCAGTTTGGCAAATGATGATATGGTTATCGTCGGATGCTGCCTGGCTTGGAACTGTGGACAGATATTAGATGTGTGGAATTAGATATGTGACCATTTTAATGGGAATTACACTATAAAAACTAAATTGCAAAATAGATTCATGCTCGTGTACGCAGCAACATGTTTTTGAAGTCATAGTATCAGGTAAAATGAAAATTAAATTTGATTAACCCTCAGGCCATCCAAGATGTAGATTAGTTTATTTCTTCATGGGAACAGATTTGGAGAAATTTAGCATTGTATCACTTGCTCACCATTGGATCCTCTGCAGTGAATGGGTGCCGTCAGAATGAGAGTCCAAACAGCTGATAAACATTACAATTCGTGTACACAAGTCATTCATTAGGTCACAAGTCGTGGCCTAATGGTTAGAGAGTCGGACTCGTAACCCAAAGGTTGCGGGTTCGAGTCTCGTACCGGCAGGGATTGTAGGTGATAATAAAAAAAAAAGAAAATAATACTTTTATTCAGTAAGCGTGCTTGCTTGATCAAAATTGACAGTAAAGACTGTTATAATATTTAAAAAAATGTTTTTAAAATATACTTTTTTGAAATATTATACTGTCACAGCTTGCACAAAAATATTAGGCAGCACCTTCTTTCAAAAACATCTAAATTTGTCCAAATGTCAATGACAAACTTTTCAACAGTAGTGTACATAAAACTATACAAACTTGTTTGTGATTTTAAATAGACCTTATGTAAATGCAAGTTACACAAAACTTTCATAATCAACACCCATTAAGCTGCTTTACATTTGCAAACAATATCTGACTCTCCATAGACCTTCAAATTGTATTATCATTGTACCTAAAAGTTATTTTGCTGTATTAGCTTTAGTGAATTCTATGCCAAGCATTTTCATCATGCACCAAAATGTAACAAGTCAACACTAACATACAAAAATAGTCAACAAAGAAGAACAAGTTTATTATAAAGTCTATTAAACATCCCTATGATGATAACACTAGAGCCTAGCCACTATCATTTAAAAGTCATCAAATAGATTCTTCAGCCTCCAGAAACCTCTAGTATATCTGTACAGTATCAACCGCTTGGCAAAATGCCCTTTAAAGCTGGGTGTTTATGCCAGTAGAATTTAATTAAATAAGATGAAAGCAACAGAATTAGTTTATCTATATGCACAAGGTTAGTGCAAAAACACAGCCTGACATACGTGCCATGACAGAGGAGGTCATCTTGTTTTTGGAGTGCTGTTCACAGAATTATTTGTTACAAATGTACATCAAATACTGATCCAGTAAATACAAGAATTCTAAGTCACACTCTAGATTGTTATAAAGGACTTTATAGCATACTAAAAAATGATAATAATATTTGTCCTTCATAAAAGCCCACCATATTAAATAAAATATTATGATATCTTTTTATTGTAACAATTATTAATATAAAACTGAATTTCAATGGTTATAGTTTTAAATAAACTTTAAAAAGAATACAAATGTTGATTAGGTTTTAAAGTCTATCTTTCTAGGTTGCTCTAACTATCTACACTATCCAGAAATGTTTTAATTCATTGCCTAACAAGACTAAAAGCTGCAATGCAGTACCGAATGTTCTAATATTTATATTAGTGGTATATTCCAAGGAGTTACATCCGAATGCCTTTGGTTTAACACATTTTCAGTTCATAGTCAAAACAACAACAAAAAAACAATTGGTTTAGTCCATCCTGATTCAGTTTGGCAAATGATGATATGGTTATCGTCGGATGCTGCCTGGCTTGGAACTGTGGACAGATATTAGATGTGTGGAATTAGATATGTGACCATTTTAATGGGAATTACACTATAAAAACTAAATTGCAAAATAGATTCATGCTCGTGTACGCAGCAACATGTTTTTGAAGTCATAGTATCAGGTAAAATGAAAATTAAATTTGATTAACCCTCAGGCCATCCAAGATGTAGATTAGTTTATTTCTTCATGGGAACAGATTTGGAGAAATATAGCATTGTATCACTTGCTCACCATTGGATCCTCTGCAGTGAATGGGTGCCGTCAGAATGAGAGTCCAAACAGCTGATAAACATTACAATTCGTGTACACAAGTCATTCATTAGGTCACAAGTCGTGGCCTAATGGTTAGAGAGTCGGACTCGTAACCCAAAGGTTGCGGGTTCGAGTCTCGTACTAGGATGGGTTAAACGCAGAGCACTAATTCCTAGTATGGGTCACCATACTTGGCCACATGTCATGTCACTTAAAAAAAAAAAAAAAATCCACACCACTCCAGTTCAGTCCATCAATTAACATATTAAAAAAGTGAAAAGCTGCATGTTTGTGAGAAACAAATCCATCATTAAGATGCTTTTAACTGTAAACCGTTGCTTCCGGCTAAAATACAATCTACTATACTATCCATAACATTGCTTTCTCCAGTGAAAAAGTCATCTTTTCTGAATCAAGCACAGATCAAGCACCGTTTACAGGCGAAAACAGTCCAAAATAGTTTTTGGACTATAGGATTTTGATGTGAGAGGACAACAGGGGATGGACTTTTTCCACTAGAGAAAGCATTATTATAGTTTATCGACTTGTATTTTGGCCAGAAGTGACGGTTTAAAGTTAAAATGCTTTAATGATGGATTTGTTTCTTACAAATGCGCAGCTTTTCACTTCACAAGTCATTAATTGGTGGACTGAAGTCGTGTGGATTATTGAGATGTTTTTATCAGCTGTTTGGACTCTCATTCTGACGGCACCCATTCACTGCAGAGGAACCAATGGTGAGCAAGTGATATAATGATACATTTCTCAGATAAAGAAACAAACTCATCTACATCCTGGATGGCCTGAGGGTGGGTAAAGATTTAATTTTTTTGGTGAACTATTCCTTTCATTTAGCATTTAGAAACAGATAGTGATTACAACTCATAATTAACCATGATTTGCTGCCTGTTCTGGCAATTAACATTCTTTAATTTATATATATTTTTTTGTATGTTGAAGAAACGTTAAATGGGTGGTAATAAGCAACTAAATGACATAATAAAGGTGTAATAAAAATGACAGAGAGATTACATAAGGGAACAGGTCAAATGAAAATGCGTGTTGGTACCCAGGATACGGCGGAGGTGGAGCATCATGTGGTCCACGGATGGCAATAGCCTGTTCATAAGAAGGTAAACCATGAGCATCTGGGCTGGAATCTGAGCCTGTGTGAGGAATAGGATGCAGAGAGACCTCCTCCAGTCTCCGGATTATCACAGAGGCATTGCTTCGGGTGGATCGGCGTCTGATGGAGCTAAATTTAAAAGGCAAAACATTGCAATCAGTCTCTCCAGATCCTACAGCAAATGACAAACTCTTAAGATAATTCTCTCAAACATAGAGAATGTGCTTCACACATCTCATCATGAAGCCTTACCCCCGGAAGCCATGGTCTTTATTCCTCCCCTGGCAGAAGTACCAGATAACGAGGCCAACTATAACAATAAAGACTCCAGCGGAGATAATGCCCACCAGCAATGTTGTTACATCAACTTTTGATTGGGATTCACCCTTATCTATGAATACAGGTGGAAATAAGTTATCAAATAATAAAGTTATCAAAAATCTAAAAATAAAATACATTTAAAATAACATTTTTATTTGATGCGTATTATTTTAATATCTGACAGTGCTGACAAGTTAGTTTTTTTTAAAGACACCTCTTATGCATTCATTTGATCAAAAATACAATAAAAACAGTAATACTTTGAAATATTATTACAGTTAAGAACTGTTTTCTATTTGAATATACTATATCATAAAATGTAAATTATTCCCGTGATGTCAAAACTGAAATTTCGGCAACCATTACTCCAGTATTGATCCTTCACAAATCATTTTAATATGCTGATTTGGTGCAATTATTATTAATTATCATTGGTGCTCAATTATTAATAATGTTTCTTATTATAATTTAAAAACAGTTTTCCCCCTTTAATATGTTGAGGAAACAGTGATACATTTTTTTCAGGATTCTTTGATGAATAGAAAGTACAAAAGAACGGCGTTTATATTTTGAAGTATACATCTTTTGAAACAATATAAATTATAATCAATTATATATCAATTTTATGCATCTTTGCTGAATAAAAGTATAAATTTTTCTTAATCTTAATAATCTTACTGTGTATTGTCACACATGCATGTTTCTTATATCAAACAATTCTTGTCTGTCCATTAAGGTGAAAAAATTACAATTGACACTAGTCTCATGTACTCATTCATAGAAAAAAATTCTCAGATTGTGCTTGTCTTTGCTAACCAAACGTTCAGCTTTGTATGCTAAAGAGAGAAAGAGCTAATGTGCAAACAGACCCTAGCAAGGCTGCAGCACACAGTTACTGTAACATTCATCAAGACACTGTCCTTGTAGATAAAAAAAATGATATACCCCTATATTAAAAATGTGTTGGCCTCCTGGTCCACAACAAACACTACACGGCACCAGTAAATATGTCAAATGTGACTGAAAATAAAGTGTCATCCAATAATCAAAGGTTATATATATATATATGTTGAATCAGAGATAGAGATGACCGACTTAGACAAAACATAATTTGATAGAAATATAAAATACATCTGAACATAACCCTAAAAAATACAATGAACTAAAGTAATGGATATCATTAACATCTCATAAACATACTCTTATCACATCCTATCTTAGATCATGATAGGATTTTAATAGGAGATTGTGCTTCATTGTTGTGTTTAAAAACAAAATATATTTAAAAGCATTGCCCACCTTTACTGTCTTGATCTGCTGGTATTTGAAGGGTTTTTCTCACACAAGCACAGTGTCCACATACAGTGAAATGACACAGCAGGAGGACAAATATAAGCATTTCTAGTCAACTGCGGGGGAAAAGGACAAAAATTCGGGCTACTCAACGACAAGGAACGACAGACTGAATTCCACAAACACACACACACACACACACACCCATACTGTGTTCTTTCAGAAGTTGAAATTCCAGTAAACCAGTCCAGTTACAATTGTTTCAGTAGTTTCCGTTGGTGTTAGTTTTAACTCGAATAAGTCAAATTCGATTTTAATAGCAAAAAGGCCTCAGCTTTGATGGTCGAAATCGAAAGAATGTGAAGGAAGATATCAAATGACTTACCTTTGAATATTAGTTTATATTTCCAGAGTTAAGAGTTCAACTTTACTTAATTTCCAGAGAGCACCTGAAGACATTCATAGTTTGGACGAAATGCCATTTGTTGTGTTCCAGGAAATGGGAGTTTCTGTTTACAACTCAAAACCTGTTGAGTTGAGAAACACCTGCTCAGAGTCAGACCTGACAAATCGATCGTCTTACCTGGAGTGAGAGAAGAACGAGAACAAGTGCCGATTTCACGGAACCTACTATGGCGAAGGATGAGCTCATGAATATTTATGAAGTTTCATGACGTTAGCCCAGTACGCCTACAGTTTGCCGAAAGGCAGGCGTTGTGAGCGAATTCCAAAGCTTTTCAAACTTATGTTAACAAAAAAAAAAAACCCTCACGTCACTGTATGCTCTCATAACAAGTCAAAGAATATTGAGTAATTTTGGCTTCGACATAGTAGGATTCTTAATTTATTCCCAAGCGAAACTGGCTGTATGGATGCTCTCTGTCACAAATGAGGGAAAGGAGGTTTACTTGAACATTTTCACATCTATCCTGTCAGTGCTAAACATGCCAGAGAGGCCAGAGGTGCAGAGCCCACAGCTCGGGCTGGGGGTGCCATATCGTTGTGTTTGTCTCAGGGGGATGGGCCACGGGGCTGCTAGAAGCAGCTGAGACAGCTCTGCGAACCAGTGTTGGGTCCTCCAGAGCGGGGCCACCAACAGAACCTTGTGTTTCCGCTCCTTGATTCGCCTGATTACCTGTGGGATCAGGGCGATTGGGGGAAAAGCGTAAAGGAGGAGGTTGGGCCAGTCGTGGGCCAACGTTTCCTTGTCCTTCGAAAAGTAAATTGGGCAGTGAGAGTTGTCTTCTGAGGCGAAGAGGTCGACCTCTGCCTTGCCAAAGATCTCCCAGATTCTTTGAACCGTATGTGGGTGGAGCATCCACTCTTCTGAGGGGATGTTGCTCCGAGATAGCATGTCTGCTCCTTGGTTCAACCTGCCCGACACACCCGTGTTGGAAGCGTCTGTCGAGACCACCTTCCTTCTGCAGAGCATTGCCTGGAGTACGCCACGTTGCATCCACCGAGTCTTTCCAAGGTGCCAGAGCTGCTACGCAGGCCCGGTCCACCTTGACACGAAGGCGTCCGAGACGCCAGGCGTGGGACGGAACTCGCGGTTTCAACCAGCACTGAAGGGGCCGCATGCGAAGCAGGCCTGAAGTACCGGAGATGCGGAGGCCATGAGGCCCAGCATCTTCTGAAACGCCTTGAGAGGGCGAGGGGCTCCAACTTTGAATGAGGCCACGAGCTGCTGAATAGCCAGTGCACGTTCTGGCGCGACTACTGCCCTCATTCGGGCTGAGTCGAGAACTGTTCCCAGGCTGAGGAAGCCTGACTCGCTCTGAGCTGGAGGAACCGTTTCTATGGCTCCTATCGCCAGCAAATTCATCACCTCGGAGCGCAGGACGTGTGCGTCTTTGCTCTAAACCGAGGTGGGAACCACGCCGCTGAATCACGGGGGTCTTCGAGCAAATTGCAGTGAATAACCTCGTTTTATTATCCCCAAAACCCAGTCTGGCACTCCGGGGATGGCCTGCCAGGCCTCAGCCCGCATGACAAGTTGTTGGATTAATTCGAGTAGCAGATTGCCGTATGGGGACCCCACACTCAGAAGAGGAATTTTGCTCTCTTTTGAAAATGCTTTCAAAAAATGCTTCGCAAGACTTAATGTTCTCATAGCGAGAGCGTGCACGCTACCTCAACGTGGGCGTGGCCCAGACGCATCCAATTTGAAGCTGTCAGTGATATTAATCATTAGTGACAGCATTCTCTTTTAATCCGCCTAAAAAGATCAAACCACTCATTAGCCATGAGGCCCAGCATCTTCTGAAACGCCTTGAGAGGGCGAGGGGCTCCAACTTTGAATGAGGCCACGAGCTGCTGAATGGCCAGTGCACGTTCTGGTGCGACTACTGCCCTCATTCGGGCTGAGTCGAGAACTGTTCCCAAGAACGAGATCTGTTGGCTGGGGGACAGCGTGCTCTTGGCAAAATTGACCCTGAGTCCCAGGCATTCTGAGTGGCTGAGGAGGAAGGATCTGTGAAATAGTAGCTCAACCTCTGACTGGGCCAAGATGAGCCAGTCATCGAGGTAATTCAAAATGCGGATTCCCATCTGTCTCAGCATGCTTCGCAAGACTTAATGTTCTCATAGCGAGAGCGTGCACGCTACCTCAACGTGGGCGTGGCCCAGACGCATCCAATTTGAAGCTGTCAGTGATATTAATCATTAGTGACAGCATTCTCTTTTAATCCGCCTAAAAATATCAAACCACTCATTAGAAGAAGAGTACTGATGATCTTTGTGTAAACACTCAGGTAGATCAAAAGTGCTGCGCGCATTTTCTCAGATCCGCTCGTAGTGGACGAGGGGAGGGGCGGGTCGATCTGTCTCAGCGAGCGCAGCCTCAGAGCGAGAGCATTCCGTCTCAGTGAAGTGCAGTCTCTGCGTGGGGGCTACCCAGACAGGCAACGCACTCACTGCCCTTCTGCATCATGCAAGATTCTGTGCATGAGCCACACTCGCAGCGCGACATTTGCAACAACATCGCTAGAAATTTTCTCTTTTAGAACTTACCTCTTAGAAATAAGCTCTTTTAGGCTCGTCGGATGGCGGCAGGGGATCAGCTGGGACCGCTGCTGCTGCGACGCTGAAGGCGGCGGAGAAGCGGCGAATCGGCCGAGCAGAGGGTTGCTGGTTCAGCTTGATCCGCTGCGAAGGTGATTCTACGGCGAGAGGCTTCGAGTCTCGTAGATCAGAGAAGAACTTAGTCGTCGCTGAAGGAGAAGAAATCTGAGGATCCTATGGCGAAGTGTACGCTTATATAGCCAGATGCCCCACCGAGCCATTGGTTCATTTTTAATAATACACTGCACGAACCAATGGCCGTGCAGTTACACTGCATGATTGAAAAAGGCTTCAGTATTCGGAGAAAAAGGAGTTTTCCCCAAAGCGTCTTAGCAGACGCAGTACGAGTGAAGTATCGATAGGGAACAAAGACAGCAGACGGGCTGAATGAGACACAGATTCACTCTCTGACAGCAGGTGGCGCTTATGGAACAGCAGTGATACAGCGTTTCCTGGGTTATGGCTGTAAACAAAGCAGCGCTGCGCTTATGAACACTACTGTAATATGCATTATACAGAGACGAGATGAAAAGAAAATATCATCTAAACTTTTCTACAGATAGTCAGATAGTTTCCCTCAGAGATTCATTCATATAAACTCCCACCCCCAAATGTAACATATCAACCGATTTTAATCGTCACATATTTGTATCGATTTTCGTTACATCCCTATTCATGATGTTTGTGATTTCTGTAATGCTGAAGACAATTTTGACTGTAATTTTATTTTTTGTAAATATGTTTTCACCACTGTGAATGTTAATCAGACCAGTACCAGTATAATCAGAAAGACATTATTATATTTTATGAAAACAAAAGAGACAAGGATCTTGCATATATTAACCTTTTAGTTTGCAACAATGAATATACTATTAAAAATTATATATATGAAAAATTAAAGGGATAGTTCACCCAAAAATAATCATTACTCACCCTCAAGTTGCTACAAACCTTTATGACTTTCTTTCTTCTTTTGAACATAAAAGAAGATATTTTGAAGAATAAGATTAACCAAACAGTTGATGGACCCCATTGGCTTCCACAGTATGGAAAAAAAGATAGCTACAATAGAAGTCAACAGGGACCATCAACACTTTGGTTACACACATTCTTCGAAATATCTCCTTTCATGTTCCACAGAAGAAAGAAATTCATACAGGTTTGGAACAGCTTGAGGGTAAGTAAATGATAACAGATTTTATTTTCCTGGGTGAACTATCCCTAAAGCATTTCAGCCACAGGTGGATGTTACTTTCATGAACCACTAGATGGCACTGAAAACTTGCTGTCCACAGTTCTAGTGGTTGAAAGCTTTGAGCAAATGTTACATTTAATTTTCATAATCTTGTGATAATGAATCAAAACATTTCATAAAACGAAATGGAAAAGGTAACACAAAATATTAAACCATTTTTTAACGAGCAACAATTAATGAATTTTATAAAATTATATTTAAAACACACGTGACAGCTTGCCCCAACATCGCATTTATGAAAAACATTATTTCTGAAAACAACTTTTGACCTTTATTTTATAGTTTACTTTTGTCTGAATCAGTGTTATTTTAATATCACTGAGATACTATTATAGGTTTTTATAAATGTTTTGAATTATTTTTTATTTTCATATTTTTGGTTTTCATTTTAATTTTAGTTCATATTTTAGTAATTTTGTTGTGAGTCTTTGTAATTTTTATTAGTTTTAATTTTTATAAAAACATGTTTTAAGTAATGGTAATGTTTTATGGTTTTGGTATCAGTTAACTATAATAACGATAATGTGCATATGTTTGGAGGACAGAATTCACAAAAAAAAAACAACAACAAAAAAAAAACACTATATTTGAAACCGACACTATAAAGAAAACCTTATATATACTGAGAAAAATTACAATTTGATTTGCCAGTCTCTAGCTGACATCTAAAATTTAGATTGTAAAATGGATTTTTTTTTTTTTGCTGTGTTAGTACTATCCCATAGTAGACAGAGGCAATCGTTTTGATGTGAGTGCTACAGGCTTGTACTAATGACATATTCATTGTCAGGAGACTAAAGCCCTGGCTTTGAGCCTTGAGGAGTGCAGGATATAATTACAGACTGCATGTTTGTAATTAACCATGTTTGTTATTTCTAGTCCAAACGATTCTCAAGAGCATTGTTAAATGTACAGAAGCACGTGTCTTTAACCATAAAAACATTCACCAGAACCATATGTTCATGTCAACTATGAAACATCAACAAGGCTCTCAATGCATTACCATGCAGCTGATAAGATGACTTCATGCTCCATGGAGACCACAAAAAATAAATACATTTTTATTAATATCTTGAACATACCAAACAGCACAGACAAACCTCATCACTTTATAACCTGATTACCTCATATCTATGCTTTCTGGGGAAGGCAACTCCTCCCAGATGATCTCCAGCCAGGAAAAGTCCCCAGTTTAACAGCAGTGATGTATTTGTGCTCCTCCTGGAGACTGGTGCTAATTGAACAGTAATAGG